CAGAGTGAGCGAGGGCAGAGTGGAAGGAGATAAAACCAGGGAGGTGGGAGGGTTGGAGGCCCCCTCTGCCACTTAGTAGCTGAGTGACTTCATTTATTTCCTGTAGCTTGCGTAATAGAGAACCACAAATAGAGTAGCTGAAAACAACAAAAATGTATTTATTCTCTCGCAGTTTGGGAGGCCAAGAGTCCACAGACCATTAAGACTCAGCTGGACCACAAACCATCAAGGTGTCAGCTGGGCCATGGTGCCTCTGAGACCTGGTCTGAAATCCCTTCTTGCCTCCCTCCTGGCTTCTGGTGGTTTGCCGACAGTCTGGTGTTCCTTATCCTTGAGACACATCACCCTGGTCCCGCCTTCATCTGCATTTCTCATGTCCTTCTGTCTCTGTGCAAGGTTGTCTCTGTGCCCAGGTTTCTCCTTTCCTTCTTATTTTATTTATTTATTTATTTTAGAGACAGGGTCTTGCTCTGTCTCCCAGGCCAGAGTGCAGTGGCATGATCATAGCTCACTGCAGCCTCAAACTCCTGGCCTCAAGCAGTCCTCCCCTTCCCAGCCTCCTGAGTGGCTGGGACTACAGATGTGAGCCACTGCACTTGCCCAGATGTCCCCTTTTTATAAAGAAACCCATCATGTAGGATGAGGATCCACCCTAATGACCTCATGTTAACTTGATTCCTCTGCAAACACTCTGTTTCCAGTTCATAGGTACCAGGGGTTAGGACTTGAGTGTCTCTTTTTGAGGGGACCCACTGCAACCCACGATGACAGGGCTGTGGGCATGTAACTTGACCTCCCGGCTGGGCACTGTGGCTCATGCCTATAATCCCAGCACTTTGGGAGGCCAAGGCAGGCGGATCGCCTGAGGCCAGGAGTTCAAGACCAGCCTAGCCAACATGGTGAAACCCCATCTATACTAAAAATACAAAAATTAGCTGGGCATGGTGGCAAGCACCTGTAATCCCAGCTACTTGGGAGGGTAAGGCAGGAGAATCACTTGAATCCAGGAGATAGAGGTTGCAGTGAGCTGAGATCATGCCGTTGCACTCCAGCCTGGGTGACAGAGTGAGACTCTATCTCAAAAAAAAAAAAAAAAACTAGATCTCTCTGTGCCTCAGTTTCCCCACCTGGGAGGGTGGGGATGATTATGTACCCACTCCTGGGGTTCATGAGAGGATTAAATGATCTCAAACAGTCCAAGCTTCCATGTGTGTCTGTTGTGGTGCTGGGTAGTGTGTCATGTGACCAGAGGTCCCCAAGCATGTCAGGGACCTGGGCAAGGGTAGATTCGGGTCTTTCGGGTCTTGTTGGCAGCATCTGAGATGGACGGGCTGCCTTGGTGTGGAAGGGCCTCGGCCGCTTTTCCCTATTTGGTCTTGTCCCTCTCCCCCATCCTCCACTCTGTCCCTGTCATCTGAGCCTGCTCCTCGTGATGGCTCAGTCTCTTTCTCTCTCTGGCGGCCTGTGCAGAGTTTCATGCCCTGGGTTATATTTAGCCCTGAGAAATGGGAACAAGAAGCCCTCAGCCACCACAGTGACAGAGAGAAGCACAAAGCCAGGGCTGCCTTCTGTCCGGCCATGTTCCGCTGACTCGGTTCTTTCTCCCAGAAACTTCCAGAAGCAAAGCATTGGTATTTCTGAGCCTGTTAAAACAAGGATGTCAGCTGGTGGCTGACTCGTTCATTGCCCCTAGAACCTGTCTGTGTCTGTGATTAAGGTTGATTTTGTTAGTTTTATTTTCAGGGCCCGTGTGTGTGTGTGTGTGTGTGTGTGTGTGTGTGTGCGCGCGCGCGCGCGCGCGCGCGCGTGTGTGTGTGCGTGTGCGCGCGCGCGCGCACGTATTCATGGCAAAACACACATGACATAAAATTTACCATCCTAATTATTTTTTTTAACTTTTTAATATTTTTTAATTGACAAGTAATAGTTGTACTTACTCACGGGGCACGTAGTGATGTTTTAATGCATGTCATACGTGGTGCTCAGATCAGGGTAATTAGCATATCCATCTTAGAGGTTTATTGTTTGTTTCCTTGGGAATATTCAAGATCCTCCTTCTAGCTATTGGAAACTGTTAATATATTGTTGCCATCTGAGCCATTTTTAAGGATGCAGCTCTGTGACATTAAGTATAATGCATTCACATTGTTGTGTAACTGCCACCGCCATTCATCTCCCAAACCTTTTCATCTTCCAGATGTAACTCTGTCTCCACTAAACATGAGCTCCCTGTACCCCTCCCCCAGCCCCTGGCACCCACCGTGCTACTTCCTGTTTTTATGAATCTGATGACTCTAGGGACCTCCTATAAATGTAATCATACAGGATTTTTCCCTTTTATGACTGGTTTATTTCACATAGCATGATGCCCTCAAGGTTCATCCATGCTGCAGTGTGTATCAGCATTTTCTTCCTTTTTAAGGTTAAGTTGACCATTAAAAAAAAAAAAAAAACTTTTAAAAACTTGAAGTAGAATAAACTTACAGAAAAATCCATAAGTGAAGAGCTTGGTTGTCACAAACCAAACACACCCATGTGTAACCAGCACAAAAATGAAGAAACAGGACCTTCTCAGCCCCAGAAGCCCCCCTCGTATCCTGTCCCCAGTCACTACCTCCCCACAAAGGTACCCCTACCGGGACTTTCAACATCATTCACTAGGTTAGCCTGTTTTTGTACTTTGCATAAATGAAATCTTACCTATATGCTGTTTTCTGTCTGTCTTCTTTTGCTTGCCATTAACTTTTTACGATCTCAGTTGTTTATTGCGAGTATCCTCTCTCTCCTGTTGATGGCAATGTGGATTGTTTGCAGTTTGGGGCTATGATGAGTATCACTGCTATGAATGTTCTTGTGCGTGCTTTCTGTTGGGCAACTATTCAGAATTACTATCTAATTGTAATGATCTTGGATGAGTAACTATCCAGGATTACTGGGTCTTGGCAAAGGTACATACAGCCATACACTGCATTATGGCATTTTGGTCAACCACAGACCAAATATGTAACAGTGGTCCCATAATGGACCAATATATAACAGTGATTATCATACACTATTTTTACCATAGCTTTTCTGTTTTGGGATATTTTTAGATACACTATTGAGTTACAATTGCCTGCAGTATTCCATACAATAACATGCTCTACGTGTTTGTAGCCTAGGAACGATAGGCTAGACCATGCAGCCTAGGTGTGTCATAGGCTATACCATCTAGGTTTGTGTCAGTATACTCCATGAAGTTTGCACAACAAAATGACCTAATGACGCATTTCCCAGAACGCATGTCCATTGCTGAATATGACTTAATACATTTTAGTATAGAAACTCTCAACCAGTTTTTCAAGTAGTTGTACCATGTGTTATGGGTTTTATTGTCTCACCCCAAAATTCATATGTTTAAGTCCTAACCTCCAGAACCTCAGAATGTGACCTTATTTGGAAATGGATTCATTGCACCAACCACAATAGCTAAGATGAGATCATTAGGGTGGGCCCTAATCCAATATGATAGAGTCCACATAAAAGGGGAAGATTTTGACACAGAGACAGACACACAGGGAGGAAGAATGCTGTGTTTAAACAAAGGCAGAGACCAGGATGATGCCTCTCCAAGCCAAGAATTAGCAAAGATTGCCAGCAACCCTCCAGAAGCTAGGAGAGAGGCATAAAACAGACGGTCTCTCACAGACCTCAAAAGGAACCAGCCCTTCTGATAGTTTGATGTTGGATTTCTGGCCTCCATAACTGTAAGACAATAAATCTCTGCTGTTTAAGCCACCTAGATTGTGGTTCCCCGTTACAGCAGCCACAGGAGATGAATACAGCATGGTACCCTCCTATAGGCAGGTTATGAGGTTCCAGTTGCTCCACAGCTTCACAGATACCTGGTAGAAATGACCTCATGTTAACTTCAATCTCATTTTAGCCTTTCTTCTAGACAACAGCAGTATCATATATGCTTTGAAAGGTGGGCTTTTAAAGCCACACTTGAGAGCCCTGCATTCTGCAGGTGTCACAGGGTGATCAACTATTGAGAGGCTACCCCTGCCCTGACAACTGGAGGCAAGGCTTTCCAGCACAGAGGTTAAGCCCATGGACTCTGGGGCCCACCTGGCTAGTTCAAATACCATGTCCACTACTGAATAGCTCTGTGACCTGGGACTGATGATTTTGTCTTTCTGAGCCTCAGTTTACTTAGTAGTAACATGGGCAGTATAACATAGAGGTATCATGAGGATTAAATGATTAAGTGAGCTAACATACATAATGTGCTTAGGAGGGTGCCCAACACACCATAAATATTCTGTAAGTGCTGACTTTTATACTTTTATCCTCTCTGTCTCTTTCTGTCTCTCTCTCTCTCCCCCTCATCCTTGATTTTCTTCCCTTCATCTTACTTCCTTCTTGCTATAGTGTTCTATTTTCGGTTTTTGAGAATATTCTATTTGTGGATATTTTACCCCTTGAAAATTGAGCTGAAACTTCTGAGAATTTTTTGTGATTGGCATTAAAGCTGCAGGGAAGGGAGCAGGGAGACACTTGAGGAAAACGCTCATGGCCCATCTGTCTGGCTTGGTGGTATCACCAGGCCATCAGACCCTGTGGTCATGCATCTTCTCTAAGGGGAATCTGTGACTGTGTTGGCACAAGGGAAGGAACCAGGGATTAATTAATCCATTTCAGTAGGCTTTGTGTTTTGTTTTGTTTTCTTTTCTTTTTCCTTCTCCTCCTGGACTCTGATCTGGGAAGTCTTCTTGTGTTTCTTACTGGTCGCCATGTCCTGTGAGGACAACATAATTAAGAGAAAGCTTTTCCTTTTGGATGTTTTCTCCAGAAAATGTTCCTCCATTTCCATCTCTGGGCTGCCAAGCCAGACTCCACAAGCCAAGAACATTTAAGACAGAGCCATGAGAGAACCAGAGCTTCCCCTTCCCTCACCTGTCAGGTCCTATGTGAGTCCCAGTCAACTCTCACCTGCTTTCCCTCCTCACACCCTACAGAGCAACGATGCCTCAGGGAATACTTGGAACTGGTTGTACTTCATCCCCCTCATCATCATCGGCTCCTTTTTTATGCTGAACCTTGTGCTGGGTGTGCTGTCAGGGTAAGTCTCTGCTACTCCCCACCCCATCCCATTCATTCCTCTTTGCCAACTTCTTCCCAAGGAGAGGCCATTGAAGCTTTGTTTTCATTCACTAGGCAGAGAAGAGGCTTCTTCCCTTGTTTGGGTTTTCATACTGTGATTAGCAAGCCATGTATAGGTACAGACGTTGTGTACTGCTAGGGTTACCCAGTGAGGGGGTCCATATGGGCTTTACTTTCTTTAAAAAAAAAATAGTTTGGGTTTACTTCTCTCATGTTTTCCAAATACAAAATCATAGCCTATGATCTAACAGTGTATTTTCCTGACCCATATTGTCCTCTATCCCCAAGATTTTTTTTTGGCTTAATCACAAATGGGCTTCATTTTTCTTACCATAAGAAGTCTGGGCACTTGTATGGTGGTTCCGTGACACCATCAGCAATCCCAGATTCTTCCAGCTTTCCATTCTGACATCTTTACCAGAGGCGTCCAATCTCATGGATACCTCATGGTCTTAAGATGGCTGCCTCATGCCCTCAAGATGGCCACTTCATGTTCCAAACCGGAAGAGGAAGAAGGGAAACAGGAAGAGGTGGGGCCTATGGCAGAGAAGGAGACCTGCTGCAGAAATCATTAATTTATGGCTTATTGGTCTAACTTAAAAGAGGGCTGAAATAATTTTTAGCCAAGAGTTCGAAGAAAATGAGAATGAGGTGTGCAACCAGTGGTGGTTGGCATGGCATGGTTCTATCCTTTTGTTTTTTTTCTTGATTATTATTTTTTAAGAGACAGAGTCTAGCTTTATCACCCAGACTGGAGTGTAGTGGGGTGATCATAGCTCGCTGTAACCTAGAACTCCTGGGCACAAGCGATCCTCCTGCCTCAGCCTCCTGTGTAGCTAGGGCAACAGGTGCATGCCACCGTGCCCAACTAAATTTTTTATTTTTCATAGAGATTGGGCCCACTGTGTTGCCCAGGCTGGTCTCAAGTTCCTGGCCTTAAAGGATACTCCCGCCTCAACCTCACAAAGTGCTGGAATTACAGGCGTGAGCCACGGTGCCTGGCCTTTTGCTTTTTTCTTTCCCTAGGCACAGTTGTTGGGAAATGTGTGAAGCTGGCAGAAGCACCCATTGCTGTAATATCCCAATCTTTTCCCAGAAGACCTGACTCCTATCGAAAACTCCTGACCTCCAGGGACTTCTGAATCCCCAAAACGCACACGCACACGCACGCATGCACACACACGCGCACACACACACACACACACACACACACACACATCCTAACATTGTCAAAGCAGCCATACCCTGGCTTTTCTATGCTTCTGCAGGGAGTTTGCCAAAGAAAGAGAACGGGTGGAGAACCGGCGGGCTTTTCTGAAGCTGAGGCGGCAACAACAGATTGAACGTGAGCTCAATGGGTACATGGAGTGGATCTCAAAAGCAGGTGAGGCCCTTTCATCCTGGGGCCCAGGGATGGAGCTCCCAGGCCACAGAGAACACAGAGTCATGCATACAGTTTGGGGACGGCTGAGCTGAGAGGGTCAGGATGGGAGGAGAAAGAAAACCTGAACTGGCAGTCCCAAATGTTATCAGCAAGTCCTAGAGCATGACACGAAAAAGTCTAGGATGAAGCCAGGATCTGACATCATACAACTGTTGAGTTCTGAAGTCAGATGTTGGTTTACATCTGGCCCTTTTCACCCATGCACCACACATCCCTGTACCTCTGTCTCCTCCACTTTTCCGTGGAGGTGATGATAAGACCTACATCATAGGACCGTTTGAGTATTTAGTACTAAATAGAACTAAATAACCTCAGTTAAGTCACTTGGGGGGAGTGGTGCCTGATACACAGTAGGCACATATTTATTTGTTCAGCCATTTAACAAGCATTTAGGGAGGACCAGCTGATCAGACACTGATCTAAGCACTGAGGATATGGGAGTAAGCAATACAGACCAAATCCCTGTCCTCAGGGCTCTGATAGCTAGTGAAAGAGACCAAACAAACAAATGCATGTCATGCTGGGGACTCCCAAATTCAGAGAAGGAAGATAAAACAGGTAGGAAGTTGGCTGGGCACAGTGGCTCACACCTCTAATCCCAGCCCTTCGGGAGGCTGAGGCGGGCAGATTACCTGAGGTCAGGTGTTCAAGACCATCCTGGCCAACATGATGAAACCTCGTCTCTACTAAAAATAGAAAAATTAGCCGGGCATTGCAGCACATGCCTCAATCCCAGTTACTCGGGAGGCTGAGGCAGGAGAATCGCTTGAACCCGGGAGGTGGAGGTTATAGTGAGCCGAGATCACGCCACTGCACTCCGGCCTGATAGACAGAGTGTGACTCCATCTCAAAGAAAAATAAACCACACAGAGTAGGAAGTTGGAGGCAGGGTGGTCAGGGAAGGCTTCTCTGAGGAAGTCCCTTCTGAGCAAAGAGACCTGAAGGATGTGAAGAAGGAGGCTGTGGGAATATCAAGGGGAGGGGCATTCCAGGCAGAGGAGACAGCAAGTACAAAGGCCCTGAGGTAGGTACATATTGGAGACACAGCAAGGAAGCCAGTGCAACTGAAACAGAGAGGTGGGGAGAGTCAGAGAAGAGACAGACAGGGAGGCGATGGAGATCAGATCAGGCTTATAGGCTGTGGTGAGGATGTTGGTGTTTATTTTGCATGAGGTGAGGAGAATGTTGCTCCTGTTGTGGAGGTGGGGCTTGAAGTCAGAGACCACCCAGCAGCATGTTTTTTGGCCAGTTGAGCTGTCACCATCAACCAGGGGAGAATGGGGCTGGCTGGGGAGACCTCCTTCTTCCCGGTCCAAGGGAGAACTCATCCTCCAAATGCAGGAGCTTAACTCTGTGCTCTTCCTCTTCAGAAGAGGTGATCCTCGCCGAGGATGAAGCTGACGGGGAGCAGAGGCATCCCTTTGATGGTAACTGCTCTGACCCCACCTCGGGGGTGGGTCCCAGGGGAAATGGGAGAAGGTGGGGTGGGGAGTGAGGGGAGAGCAGGCGACCTGGCTCTAAGGATCCTCCTCCATGGGGTGGACGTTCCTCCTGGAGGAATTTTCGGACTTCATGCAGGGTTTCCCTATTCGGGCCTCCACTTTTTTGCTTTAATCACAAACCTGACTTTTTCTGCTTTGCGCCTTGGTTTTTCTCATCTGAGAAATGGCTGTGCTGTAAACAATACCCTATATCATGAGATTGTTTCTCGGAATGATATTCATTATGGAAATAGAACGCCTAGGATACTGCCTGGCACAGGCTTGGCATGTTTCTGTTCGCTAAATAAATAATCCCACCAATAATCCAGTTGACTGTGAAAGGCTGCTGTCTCCCATGTTAGAAACTTAACCAGACAGAGTCATGACTTACTTTTTTTTTTTTATTGAGACAGAGTCTCGCTCTGTCACCCAGGCTGGAGTGCAATGGTGTGATCTTGGCTCACTGCAACCTCCGCCTCCCATGTTCAAGCAATTCTCCTGCCTCAGCCTCCTGAGTAGCTGGGATTACAGGCGTGTGCCACCATGCCTGGCTTATTTTTATATTATTAGTAGCGATGGGGTTTTGCCACGTTGAGCAGGCTGGTCTTGAACTCCTGGCCCCAAGTGATCTGCCCACCTCGGCCTCCCAAAGTGCTGGGATTACAGGTTTGGAGTGTAGACATTAATTTGTGGTCCCCTGGAAACCTGAATATGAAAGGAGGGACCATTAAAAGGGGTCCAAAACCCCAACCTGCCCAGCATAGCTGGGAGTCAGCAGGGAGACTGTAAGAGTGTATCCAGCCTGGAGCTTCATGAAAGTCAAGTTTCTTCAAATTTAGAGATAGAGCTGGATGCTGCCTGTCCATGGCTCACACCTGTAATTCCAGCACTTTGGGAGGCCGAGAAAGGAAGATCACCTGAGCCAGGGAGTTCAAGACCAGCCTGGGCAACATAGTGAGATTCTTTCACTACAAAAAAATTAAAAATGAGCCAGATGTGGTGGCACACACACCTGTGGTCCCAGACACTCAGGAGGCTAAGGCCGGAGGATCGCTTGAGCCCAAGAGATGAAGGCTGCAGTGGGCGCCACTGCACTCCAGCCTGGGTGACACAGTGAGACCCTGTTTCAAAAGAACAAAAAGAATTTAGAGACAGGCTAGAAGACTATGTCGCAATATAATGATAACGGCAATTAGAAGAAGAATAGTACTCCCTGAAAAACGCAACTTCTTGCTCGAGATTTCTCTTCTCACACTTGAGAAAGCTGGTTTGACAGGGGCCGGGCGCAGCGGCCACACCCATAATCCCAGCACTTTGAGAGGCCAAGGCGGGTGGATCACTTGAGGCCAGGAGTTCAAGACCAGCCTGGCCATCATGGCAAAACCACATCTCCACTGAAAAGACAAAAATTAGCTAGGTGTGGTGGCACACACCTGTAATCCCAGCTGCTTGGGAGGCCAAGGCGTGAGAATCGCTTGAACGTGAGAGATGAAGGTTGCAGTGAGCCAGATTATACCACTGCACTCCAGCCTGGGTGGCAGAGCGAGACTCTGTCAGGAAGAGAGACAGAGAGATGGAGAGACGGAGAGAGGGAGGGAGGGAAGGAAGGAAGGAGGGAGGGAAGGAAGGAAGGAAGGAGGGAAGGAGGGAAGGAGGGAAGGAGGGAAGGAGGGAAGAAGGAGGGAAGGAAGGAAGGAGGGAAGGAGGGAAGAAGGAGGGAAGGAAGGAGGGAGGGAGGGAAGGAGGGAGGGAAGGGAAGGAGGGAGGGAAGGGAAATAGAAAGGAAGGGAGAAAGAAAGAGGGAGGGAGAGAGAAAGGGAGGGAGGGAGGGAGGGGGAGAAAGAAAGTTAGCTGGTTAGGCAGGGTGATGACTTTCGATTGAACCTCCCAGGGATTTGAGGGAAATAGAAGAGCTGGCACCCTGTCCCAGAGGGTTATAAAATGATTTTCACTGTTTTAGTTGGGGAGAGGATATTACCCATGAGGTGTCTAAATCTCATTTTTGGAGCCCCTGGGAACGTATAGCTTGAATATTGAGGGAGAATCCCAAAATTCCAGCCTGCCTAGCAAGTATGTTACAGGTCAAGCAGTGCACTATTTTCATAAGAAAGTGAGGTTTCTTAGAATTTTAAAATAGAGGCTGAGTGTGGGGACTCACACCTGTAACCCCAGTACTTTCGGAGGCCAAGGCAGGCAAATCACTTGAAGTCAAGAGTTGGACCAGCCTGGCCAACATGGCAAAACCCCCTCACTACTGATAATCCAAAGATTAGTCGGGTGTGCTGGTACACACCTGTAATCTCAGCTGCTCGGGAGGCTGAGGCAGGAGAATCGCTTGAACTTGGGAGGCGGAGGTTGCAGTGAGCTGAGATCACATCACTGCACTCCAACCTGAGTGGCAGAGTGAGACTTTGTCATAAAAGAGAGAGAGAGACAGAGGGAGGGAGGGAGGAAGAGAGAAAGAAAAGAGAAAGAGAAAGAAAGAAAAGGAAAGAAAAGAAGGAAGGGAAGGGAAAAGGGAAGAAAGAAAAGAAAGACCAGAGGGAAAACAGTGGCTGAGGGCTGAGACCTGGAGTCGGACTGAACATGACTTGATTCTTGTCTTTAGCCCTCTAAGCAAAGTGATAGTACCACCTTGAACCTCAGTTTCCACATCTGAAAAATGGGTATACTGTTAGTTCCCACCAAACTGGTTGCCGTGAGAGTTGAATCCAAGGGCACGCTGTGTCCGTTGGGTCCGTGTTGCAAAAAGGGTAACGTCTTTTTCTCTTGCCATGTTTCCATTGTTGGAGCTCTGCGGAGGACCACCATCAAGAAAAGCAAGAGTGATTTGCTCAACCCGGAAGAGGCTGAGGATCAGCTGGCTGATATAGCCTCTGTGGGTGAGTCCCTTCCTCTGCCACCTATCAGTTTTTCATTACCCGTCGCCCAAGAGATGATGTGGGGTCGGGGCACAGAGCTTGCAAACCGGGCTGCTTGAATGTGGCTGTCAGCTCCACCCCTTCCCCCCAGTGTGTGTGTCCTGGGCAGATTACATCATTATGGGAATGACATCCGTGCCTGGCTTCTCATTATTTTGCGGGAATTCAACTAAATGATCCCCATGAAGCATGGGGAACCAGCACCTGGCGGGGTCTCAGCTCTCGGTCATGTTGGCGAATGTTTGCAACTCACTCCGAAAGTATTCATGGGAGACCTGCTTATATTAGGTGCCTGATTGCAAATAAGACACAGGCAATTGGGAGGCTGAGATGGGAGGATCACTTGAGCCTGGGAGGTGGAGGCTGCAGTGAGCCATGATTGTGTTACTGCCCTCCAGCCTGGACACAGAAAAAACAAAAACAAAAAAGACACAAACTGGGCCAGGCACGGTGGCTCATGCCTATAATCCCAGCACTTTGGGAGGCTGAAGTGAGCAGATCACCCGAGGTCAGGAGTTCAAGACCCAGCCTGGCCAACATGGTGAAACCCTGGCTCTACTAAAAACACAAAATATTAACCAGTTGTGGTGCTGCATGCCTGTAGTCCCAGCTACTCAGTAGGCTGAGGTGGGACAGTTGCTTGAACCTGGGAAGCAAAGGTGGCAGTGAGCTGAGATCTCATCACTGCACCCCAGCCTGGGCAACAGAGCAAGATCCTATCTCAAAAAAAAAAAAAAGACACAAACCAAATCACTACTTATATGGAGCTCGCAGTCCAGTGTAGGAAGTAGAAATTAAACAGAGAATTACACAAATAAACCTGTAAAGGTAATAGCACTTCAGGGAGAGGCTCTGGGCTTAGCGTGCTCTGGAAGGATGGGGAGAAATCAGAGAAGGCTACCCAGAGGAAGTGATGTTTAAGCTGGAAATTGAAGGATGGGTAGGAGATGACTGGTGGTGATAGCTGAATGAACAGTGTGACAGACGGGGCTCAGGCCTTTGCCACCACAAGGGCCAGAGTTGGAGGGGAGAACATGTATTCTTTCCCTTCTCTCTTCCCTGTCCTTTTGATTCATTGACTGTGATTCTGTTGATCTTGACCTTCTAAAATGAGAATGTGTTGTTGTCGCTGTTGTTATTGTTGTTTAATGGGTTTGGTTTTGTTTTTTTAATGGACGGAAGAGCATCCAGGCAGAGAAAATAAGACTGGAATAAGATAGAGGGGATGGCCAGGAACGTGGTGGCTCACGCCTGTAATCCCAGCACTTTGGGAAGCCGAGACGGGCGGATCACAAGATCAGGAGTTTGAGACCATCCTGGCCAATATGGCGAAACCCCGTCTCTATCGGAAATACAAAAATTAGCCAGGCGTTGTGGCATGTGCCTCTAGTCCCAGCTACTCAGGAGGCTGAGGCAGGAGAATCGCTTGAACCCGGGAGGCAGAGGTTGCAATGAGGCGAGATCACTCCACAGCACTCCAGCCTGAGCAACAGAGCGAGACTCCATCTCAAAAATAAATTAAAAATATAAAAGAATAGATTGAGGGAAGGAGGAATTTCGGCTGCTTGGGAAACTGTGGCTACGGTTTAGAGGAAGAAAGGATGGCAAGAGAAGGAGGAAGGGAGAGAGGGAGGGAGAGAAGTGAAGGAAGGAGGGAAGTTAGGGCATCCATGTGTTTCTGATCTATTTCATAGTCCACTTTTTTTCCACTCCTAGTTTATAACCTTATTGCTGAGTGTGGGCATAATTTCCATTGCGATCACGTATCTCATAGGGTGGATATGCCGTGGTTTGTTTAGCCATAGCTCTATTATAGGGTGTTTGAGTTGTTTCCAACAATTTCTCTTACAAAGGGCACTGCTGTGCACATTTATGTACAGTGATTCCCCCCACCCTTTGGGCGTATTTCCTTGGGGATAATTACAGGATGGAAGATATTAACAGCTTTTCAACTCATTATTCAAAGAGCCATTCTGAGTTTCAAAACCACGGAACCCATTTATAAACCTGCCAAGTACACATATATTCGTGGGTCCCCCAGCCAGACCATCGAATATTACCAATTTAACTTCCTTTCCAAGTTAAGCGGGTTTGTAATGAAAGCTTAAAGCTTGTTTTCATTTGCATTTTTAATTTCCAGCCAAAACACGCTTTTTCTTGTAACGGAGGACTCATTCTACTTTCACTTGTATGTGCATCTGTTTAATCTCCTGTAAGCAAATGTCAAGAAATGGAGCACTCAGTTGGTACCTTGTGTATTTGATCAATTATGTCTGTCTCACATATTAGGTTACTTCCATTGTTTAAAATCTGTTTTATGGCCAGGCACAGTGGCTCACGCCTGTAATCCCAGTGCTTTGGAAGGCCAGGGCAGGAGGATCTCTTGAGGCCAAGAGTTCAAGACCATCCTGGACAATATAACAAGACTCCATCTCTGGGGGGGAAAAAAAAAACTGTTTAAAAACTTAGCCAGGCATTATAGCACACGCCTGTAGTCCCACCTATTTGGGAAACTGAGGCAGGAGGGTTTCTTGAACCCAGGAATTGAAGGTTGCGGTGAGCTACGATTGTGCCACTGCACTGCAGCCTGAGCAATAGAGTGAGAACCTGTCTCTTAATAAAATAACAATAAATTCTTTAAAATCTTCTTTGTTGGCCGGGCACAGTGGCTCATACCTGTAATCCCAGCACTTTGGGAGGCCAAGGCGGACGGATGGCTTGAGGTCAGGAGTAGGAGACCAACCGGGCCAACGTGGTGAAACCCCATCTCTACTAGAAATACAAAATCAGCTGGGTGTGGAGTGTGCACTTGTAATCCCAGCTACTCAGGAGGCTGAGGCACGAGAATCACTTGAACCTGGGAGGTGGAGGGTGCAGTGAGCCGAGATGATGCCGTTGCCCACCAGCCTGGGCAACAAGGGTGAAACTCTATCTTTAAAAAAAAAAAAACTGCTTTGTTTTATACATATATATATATATTTATATTTATATGCATATGTATATGTATCTGTCTCAAAAAAATCTGCTTTGTGAGATATATATATATTTTTTTCTTTTTTTTGAGATGGAGTCTTGCTCTGTCACCCAGGCTGGAGTGGGGTGGTGCAATCTCGGCTCCCTGCAACCTCCACCTCCCAGACTAAAGCAGTTGTCCTGCCTCAGCCTTCTGAGTAGCTGGGATTACAGGTGTGCACCTCCACACCCGGCTCATTTTTGTATCTTTAGTACAGACAAGTTTCTGCCGTGTTGGCCATGCCAGTCCAATTCCTGACCTCAAGCGAACCACCCACCTCAGCCTCCCAAAGTGCTAGGATTACAGGCGTGAGCCACCTTACCCAGCCAGTAATCTATTCTTATAAGAACACCAGTCATATCATATTAGGGCCCCCCAATGACTTCATTTTAACTTACCTTTTTAAGACTCTATCTCCATATGCAGTCATATTCTGAGAACTAGGGATTAAGACTTCAGCCTATAAAAGGGGGAAAGATCGCAATTCAGCCCATTGCAGGAGAGCCATCCAGGGAGCCTTGAGAGAGAGTCGTAGAGGGTTTGTGCAAAGCCCTGCTCTTCAATCTGTGGCTGACAAAAGAAAACTTGCTACATGGGAAACCCAGTTTCAAGGCAGGGGGTTAATAAAGAAGAGATAAGCCAGGCACGGTGGCTCATGCTTGTAATTTCAGCACTTCAGGAAACCGAGGCAAGTGCATCACTTGACGTTGGGAGTTCGAGACCAGCCTGGCCAACATGGTGAAACCCCGTCTCTACTAAAAATGCAGAAATTAGCTGGGCATGATGGCAGATGCCTGTAATTTCAGCTACTTGGAAGGCTGAGGCAGGAGAATCACTTGAACTTGGGAGGCTGAGGTTGTACTGAGCTGGGAACGTACCACTGCACTCCAGCCTGGATGACAGAGTGAGACTCTATCTCAATAAAAAATAAAAAGGGCCGGGCGCGGTGGCTCAAGCCTGTCATCCCAGCACTTTGGGAGGCCGAGGCAGGTGGATCACGAGGTCAAGAGATCGAGACCATCCTGGTCAACATGGTGAAACCCCGTCTCTACTAAAAATACAAAAACATTAGCTGGGCATGGTGGTGCGTGCCTGTAATCCCAGCTACTCAGGAGGCTGAGGCAGGAGAATTGCCTGAACCCAGGAGGCGGAGGTTGCGGTGAGCCGAGATCGCGCCATTGCACTCCAGCCTGGGTAACAAGAGCGAAACTCCGTCTAAAAAAATAAAAAAATAAAAATAAATAAAAATAAAAAGAAGAAATAAAGTTGAGGAAGCACAGCTGTCAGACTGAGAGCTAATGCTGTCCTAGGACACCTCCGTTAACAAGGCAGGTGACATTGCAGCTTTCTAAACAGACCCAAAACCCAGGCCAGTGGCTTATTCTTTCCTAGCCAGAGTTGCTATAGGCAAATCCACCAAAACCCACCTCGTCGGCCTGATTACTGAAAAAGACAAAGAAAGGAGCCCCCAATGTAGTCAATGATTTTCTAGACACCCCAAAAGAGATCTCTGGAATTCCAGAATTCTAGCAAGGAGACCCATTTACCTCTTTTTATTTATGTAAAGAATGCAATAATACAGGCTGGGTGTGGTGGCTCACACCTGTAATCCTAACATCTTGGGAGGCCAAGGCAAGAGGGTCGTTTGAGACCAGGAGTTTGAGACGAGCCTGGGCGACATGGTGAGAGCCTGTCTCTATCAAACATTAGCTGGGCATTGAGGCACGTGCCTGTGGTCCCAGCTACTCACAAGGCTGAGGTAGGAGGATCACCTGAGCCAAGGAGGTCAAGGCTGCAGTGATCTGCAAACATGGCCCTCCACTTCCACCTGTGTGACAGAGACCTCATGTCAAAAAACAGGAATTCATACAGAAACGCATATTTCAAAGTAAGGTGAGAGCTGTGTGGTGTTTGCCTTCACATTGCACCACAGTATGCACAGTCCTTT